TTTTTCTTCATTATTCTCGCATTACCTACGTAATATTCTTATCTATTAATATTTCACTGTTCACTTCCTCACTGAATCAGAATGATCTGACCCTTTAATTAATAATACCAGGCATGAATATTTAATATTCTAGAAACAATAATGAACCTGTTGTTGCTGTTGAACTGCAGCCACTGCGGCTGCGGTTTGTCCATACTGGGCGTAGGCCGCAGCAGCACTGGGATTAGCCGCATAAGCTGCGGCAGCATATGGTGATCCTGATGGGGCAGCAGCAGCGTTTGAGAAACTTAAATGCAACACCAATTAATTATTTGCCATGTGGGTACTTTGCTTAATTAAACAGTGCGAACACAAACATTGTGCCCAGCAACGTTACAAACGTTTGATGGCCTGGTCAATCCAGATAATTCAGGTTCCTAAATGTTCAAGAAAACAAATGTAAAACGAAATAACAGTAAAGACTGATAATAACAATAGCAGTAGTAATAAGCAACATTTTTAAATTGACAACATTATTTGGACAATTTTTGAATGGTGTATTTGAACGCTGAATCGTAAGAATAACAATAAACCTTGCATAAACACTGGTCGGATTAGTGGCCCCAACAGCTCCTAGAGTTGGCGTATGAGGAGTTTGTTGCGACTGTACTGCACTGTAGACGGCTGCTGCCGGGGAAGTTGCGTATGTGGAATTATAACTTCTGCANTATCGTTCATTACAGCCAATATTAGCTGGTTGATACACACAGATATACATTTATTTAGAAATTTATTTAGAAATTTTGCTCAGCATCCGATGGATATTCACTCCAAAATATTCACACTCATCTCATGAAGATGCCTAAATCTGTATTGATAACATTTGTGACATTGTGATAACATTTCATATACGTTGTGTCGTATACATTGAATAATGACCTCGGAAAGCTGTCATGTTTTCGGGAAGAGACTGTAGAAAGCTGGTATTGTATAATTTCGGATTCGAGAAGCTAGTAATTTAACAATTTGAGATAAATCTATCTCACCCGTATTGGCTCTGACCCGTGAAGCCGTACATGACCTTTTATCGTTGAAACAAAAACACAGAGAGATAGTATCCCCAGCGAAGTATACAGATTACACCTGAAAATACTGCTTGAACTGAACTTCGATTAGAGTGGCTAATAATAGGACAGTACTGTGAGTACTGAGAATATTTGCGTAACAGATCATGATTGCCATTGCTCTGACGTAAACGAATGACTCATGCATTCAATACGAAAATGGAAAGTTTATCATGAAAAGTCCGATGATTAGGCGATCCCTAAAATTCCTCGCGGAAAACTAAAGGATAGCAGGTGTGCGTTTTCCTGATCATAAACCAAGTCTACAATAATTTGGCAGGGCGAATAAAAAAATCGACATGAAACACGACGAAAAGTTTCAGAAACGCTAGAAAATATGCATAATTATGCGGCGATTAAGCAACCCATTTCAATCTTCAGTTGACCACTGCAGCGATTTTTTTT